AAAGATAATAAAGAAAAATAGTAACAAGTGAAAAAAGAAAATAGAATAGAAAAGAAAAGAAAACATGTGAAGAAGCAGCTTCCAATCTTCTCAACAGTGGCTGTAGACACACTTAGATCCGAACATATAAAAGGAAACATCTCCCTCCCTGCACAGGATCGGGGCGCAGCTTCACGAAAGTCAAGGGAAGAGCACACGGGACTTTTCCTAACAGGAGACGGGAAGGAAGAATGACAGTGCAGAAGTTTGCAAAGAGAGCGACAGCACTGGGAGAATTTTACCTTTAGTATTTTATGGATTAAAATTGTGACGGGCAGAGTTGGGATCATTATACCGTGACTGAGCCGGTGTTTGACCTTGTGCTGGGGGTGGCTGAGCCATCCTTGTTTCCTGTCACCATAAGAAGCATCACACAATGAGATGAATAAAATCCAGTTTTTTAAGGTGGGGGGGTTGGCCATACTGTTTTTTCCAGCCAAGGAAAGCCAAAGAATGCTGTGACAGAGCACATTCTGTAAACCTTGGAAGAGAAGAAATAGACTTAAAGCCTTCCACTCTCATTGCTCAACCACAGGGAAATCACTGGCATTAAACTGATCAGTTGCCTACTTCCCCTCCCTATTTTTAGCTCCTCAAGATGGATGGTGACAGCTTCTGCAGGCTGATGGAAGTTCAGTAAATACTATTTTTTCTGATAAAATAGGAAATGTTAATTTGATAGCACTCGGTGGGTGGAGAAGCAATCATCAACTAAAACATTCTTCAGCAGGCTCCGTTTCAACTACAGGTCTAACTAAAATGGAAAGCATACACTGGGATGAATACTCCAAGAAAAGCTGTTCTGCGTATCGTTTATCCCGTTTGAGGCAGCAGGAACTGCACACAGAAAACTCCTATTCAGACTTGAGCTAGAGAAACTCACCATTGGACCTTCAATAGCTGCTGCTGCTGCTGCTGCTGCTGCTGCTGCTGCTGCTGCTGCTGACACCTTTCTTCTTCACAAGCATGACAAGTTGTTACTTGCAAGTCAAAGTTAGGACCCACAAACACTTAACAGGAATGAGCTCCTGATATCTGACCCAAGTCTGGAAAGCCAGTGAACAGGAGCAGGGAGGGTTCATCGTGAGCCGGGGTACAACCAGCCACCATCTTACTGAAATGGGGATGAACAGGCTGAGCGCTGACCTGCGTGCCTTTATCTTCAATGTGTCAAAGCTCTACTTTTAACACCCCCACCCATAGATCACTCACAAGGATTGACTCTCCGTACATTTAGTAAAGCAGGCTTCTGTCACAATAGATCACACAATAGATCATTGTCCTAGAACAGACTATCATGGCAACCTCTCTAGAAGTAACGACCTATTTCAATCTATGGGATAAATAGCAACTTCTGAACATGGAATCCTTTTTTTAAACAATAATTTTATTAAACATTACAATTAAAAAGATAAAAGCTAATACAAACTAAAAAAAGAAAATCGAAATCGAAAGTACAGAAAAGAAAAAAAGTAGAAAAGAAAGAAAAAATATCATTGTACATAGAATCCTAACAGAAATAAGAGAGGAGAGAAAACAGGCTGTAGAATGCTGAAATGACTTTTACCTCCAGCCCTTCCTTTAGGGTTCAAATCAACTTTCCCCTCTAAACTGTCCCCTTGCAACCACCCTGTGAATTAAGTTAGGCCGAAGATAACATTTGGCCTACTCACCCAGGAAGTTTATTCTCACCCCTGCCCATCTGAATGCAACCATCTAACCACTACATCACATAGTTCAAGGTTGCCTTCAGGGGGTCATGGAACCGTTCAAACGTTATGCAGAACAATGGCAGTATACAAGTGACTAACACCATCTTTGTCACTTCATACAAAGAGCCCACGAGAGAATCCTCAGGAGATAGGCTAGGCCTCCCCCATTTTCCAAAATCTCGGAGCTGCTACATACTGGTTCTGCTTGGAGCTCTAGAGCCAAAGTGCCTTCTCCAGACTGCAGAGTAGAGCTGCTAACAAAGAAGGACTTTTGATGGACAGGGCCCGTACAACACAAGAGTTTTCAAAAATGTCAATATCTATAGCTCTCTGGATAAAGGAAGTTTCCAGGTTAAGTTTTATTTTCTTCCTGCTCCCCAATTTCTTTTGCAGCCTGGCATTGACAAAATAGTCACACCCAAATGGACAACTCAGCTGAATCACAGAAGTCAGAAGTGCCAAGGGATAAATGCCTCCCCCGCCATGAGAGTGGTATAAAAGAGTATCAAAATCCTGGGCACGGGTCACAGGGAAATTTTTGGCTGTTGCCATGCAAACCAAGAACAGTTGAGCGGCTTTGTGTCTTCATTTTAAACTATTCAGTCAACAGACTCTCTATTAACTCCTTTTTGCTGTAACCTTATGAACACAGAGATGAGATGTCAACAGGGCCTTTGTCTCTGATGAACTGATACACTGATTAGGAGAGAGTCACGCTCCCTAATGAGTCCCTTCCAGAGATCATACTGAGCAGAGGCTTCAGGGTTCTCGAAAGTTCTTCTTTCTGATTCCTTATCCGCACCGGAGAAACCCCAGCCACTTGCACCCATAAACAGTGGAGGGAAAAAGATAAAGAGGGCTGAAATTGTTCCAGCACCGTATTTAAAAGAGACCGATCATTTGAAGAACGGCCTCTCAAGTCTCCTTTGCTTCTACGCACTCAGCGTACAAATCAACAGATGGCTACAAAGGGACATTTGGAAGAAAATTATTCTTGCACGCTCTTCACTTCTTTAAAAAGAAAGAAATCTCAGGGACAGCATAAGGCAGACTTAGCTGAAAGGGAATGCTGGAGACTCGGGGAGTATTTATTTTATATACTAATACACTGGGATAGCCTGAGTAGAGGAAAGCAGCAAGTGCTGCTAACAAGGAAACAAAACTGTCATTACACATCAGAACCCCAGAGAAACCCTAGCCTGCGTCCTCACTTTCTCCATCTGATTAAGATACTTACTCTGCTGACTTCACAAAAGTCCTGTTTCTTTTCACAGAGACACATACAGTTAACCTTGCCTCCCGACTTAGTTTGGGGGTGGTGAGAAACAGTGCCACCATTCCTGGACGCCATTCTTGTTCAAAGGCAAATTACCAAGTTATTAAGCAACCCACTGAGGCAACACTGCGCCACCTTTCTGAACCGTGAAATCATACATGAGGAGAAGGCAATATAATCTGAAGGATTTGCTTCTCAAACCTCTCCACTTTGAGGACCATTACGTTCCAGTAAACTCAGAGCTTGACTGGGAATATATTCTAGGTATCGCTAAGGGAAGATTTCGCCTTTGGTCAGGCTGCGCATTCTCAGACACGAGCAAAATTAAAGCGCTCTGGCTCTTGTTAAAAAGAAACATCACATGATCTCTGCACAGGAAACTCTGAAGTCAAATGTATGATCACACTGGAGGGAATCTTCTCTCATTCTAAAATAAGCCCCGCTGGATGTCCCAGCCCTTGCCCTTTTCTCCAACCCTCCTCCAGAAGCAGAGATGGCTACTTGGGGGATAAGAATCACGGAACGGTCTCCTCGAGACAAACTCAGCGGGGAAGACTTAAAGTTACTTACTTGCTTTTGTTGTCTGCTGTGATTCTGAATCACCAAAGCTCTGGAAAAGCCACAGCAGCGCGTTCAGGCTAAAAGAGGGGGAAAGACAAAACATGTAGACCCAATTTAATCGGAGCACTCATGAAAGGGCTGGATCCTACGGAAGCTGTTCACACCTGCAAACGCTCTCCTTTTCTTCTTAAACTAAGCTACTCGAGGCAGCTGCGGTACTTGCTTCACCTACTGGAGCTTCCCAGCAGGTCCGGTCCTGACCTCCCAAGGAAGGAAAGACCAAAGAGATTTTCATTTTGAAACGCGTGCGTTACTCCAAGTGTTACTTGGAGCGCGCTGACCCCCGGGGGCCTCTGCGCTGCTCTGTCCAGCAGCCCCTCCGGTTCCCGCACGCTCTCAAGCGTCCTCCGCAGCCGGACGCCTCGTCTACAGCGCGGCACGTCCGCTTACAACTCCGCGGCCTTCTCTTCCTTTGCGGCGCTCCCCT